GGTATGGACAAAGAACTCTGCCATTCCCCATAAGACCTCCAACATCTGAGTGATACTATTTGGTACTCCTATTATAGAAGACTAGTATAAGTATAGTACCTTACAGTTTAAGGGCCAGGGATCTGGCTCAGCATGTGGGAAGTCCCAGCTACACAAAATGGTGGCCCTTCCAAAAAACTGAAATACTTTAGGCAACAACTAACACATCAAACCAAGTAGGTTTAACTAATTCACTCAAGATTTTCTAAGTTCTTTTGCAGAAACTGAGATATATAGTGAGTGAAAGCACTTGCCTTGTATGTGGCCGAAACAGGTTCAATTCCCAGCACCACTTACAGTCCTCTAAGCACCGCCAGGAATGATTCGTCAGCACAGACGAATAGTAAGCCCTGAGCAGTCAAGTATGCCCCCAAATCAGAGTTTTTCTCAAACAGAAGCCATATGGGACCACATATGAAAATGGCACAGTACAAGACTAGGGGGCAAAATAGTAAGATGGGGTGGGCACAGTTAGGAGGTCAAGTCAGAGAAAAGGTTGAGAAGAAGGCCTCACACAGTAGAGATAGCCACTGTTTTTCTAAGGGCCAAAACAGATTGAGCAAACAACTAACACATCAAACCAAGTAGGTTTAACTAATTCACTCAAGATTTTCTAAGTTCTTTTGCAGAAACTGAGATATATAGTGAGTGAAAGCACTTGCCTTGTATGTGGCCAAAACAGGTTCAATTCCCAGCACCACTTACAGTCCTCTAAGCACCGCCAGGAATGATTCGTCAGCACAGACGAATAGTAAGCCCTGAGCAGTCAAGTATGCCCCCAAATCAGAGTTTTTCTCAAACAGAAGCCATATGGGACCACATATGAAAATGGCACAGTACAAGACTAGGGGGCAAAATAGTAAGATGGGGTGGGCACAGTTAGGAGGTCAAGTCAGAGAAAAGGTTGAGAAGAAGGCCTCACACAGTAGAGATAGCCACTGTTTTTCTAAGGGCCAAAACAGATTGAGCAAACTTAACAAAACCACAGCATAAGCACATGAGAGAAGAATGAACCTCCAAGTGTCTCTCTCAAAAGCCTCTTCCAAGGTGATGTCACCTCACAAATGTCTCTGCTCTAATTGTTGGGTAGAAGAAGCCCAAGAGAGTAAGATACTATGAGGTTGGTGAGCAATAATCAACCTTTTTTTTTGGGGGGGAGGGTCACACCCAGCAATGCTCAGGGCTTACTCCTGGCGGTGCTCCAGGGACTCTAATGGGATGATGGGGATTGAACCCGAGTCAGCCCCATGCAAGGCAAATGCCCTACCTGCTGTACTATCGCTCCATCCTCCACCCTCTTATTTTGAGACCTTAAACTGAAAGGCTGGAGAGAACTCAATAGGCTGAGGGCAGCATACTTTGCATGCAAAAGGCCCAGATTCCAAACCTGGCACTGCATGATTCTCTGAACACTGCCAGGAGTGACCCACAGGCAGCTTCTGAGCACTGCCAAGCAAAAACACACAAACAGAAAGATGCTAATTTGACCAATTTTATGGAGCAGTTCTTTCTTACACTGTACACTAATGAACCCATTGACATGATAGGTAATCATGGATGATGCCAGACAGCTGTCCTGGTTCGTGACATTAGAAGGAAAGCTTTACCGAGAGCAAAAAGAGTATGCACTGGAAGTTACCAAAACTTGTAATCAGTCAGCTGTGCAGGAAGAATCAAACAATTGGGTCACCCTGGCTCTGGGGGCCAGACCACAGACCTCTATTCAATTAGCAAAGAATATGCTAGGATGAATATAGCCCACCAACTAACAGAATGGTAGGAGTAGGACTAACCTGACAACAAATGAGTTGAGACACAAAATGGTTCTGATGCAAAACTGCAAAATGTTTCTTTAAAAACAAAAACAAAGATAAAACAACCCCGAATATTTAACTTTTATTTGTCGAGTTTGATTTCTCCACCCCTCTGGGAGAGCGCGGCAAGCTACCGAGAGTATTTTGCCCGCATGGCAAAGCCTGGCAAGCTACCTGTGATGTATTCGATATGCCAAACACAGTAACGAGTCTCACAATGGAGACATTACTGGGCCCGCTCGAGTTTTGTTTTGGAGGAGGGAGCCATACCCAGAGATGTTCAGGTTTTACTCCTGGTTCTCTCTACTCAAGGATTACTTCTGGCAATGCCCAAAGCTTATTCCTGGCTCTGCACTTAGATTACTATATATGATGCCAGGGATTAAACCTGGGTCAGCTGAATGCAAGACAAACATCTTACCTGCTGTATTATCATTTCAGCTCATGGTAGGAAATGTACACCAGTGAAGGGGCAGGTGTTGGAACATTATCTGACTGAAATTCAATCATGAACAACTTTGCAACTGCGAATCTCACTGACTCAATTAGAAAAAAATTTTTAAAAATTTAAAAAGAAAAGAAAAAAGTTCTAAGGGGCCAGAGCAATAATAACAGCAGGAAGGGAATTTGCATTGCATGCTGCCAACTGGGGTCCTTCAGCATCCCATGTGGTCCCCGGAGCCCACCAGGAGCAACACCTGAGTAGAGATCCAGGAATAAGACCTGAGTACTGCCGGGTATGTCCCCCAACCCCAAAAAGACAGTTCTCAAATCTCTCTTCTAATGTGCCAATCTTGAGAGAGAGAAAGCCATGAAAAACAAAAAACAAGAGGTATCTTGTCACTGAAACATAAAGCAATGCTCCACACAAAGCAATGTGTCGTGCTCAAGTCCTCTAGCATATAGATGTGCCAACGCTGTCTGTCTGAAACTACAGCAAAAAGCAGCTGACATCTGACCCTAGAGCAGAGTCAGAAGAAGCCCTAAACTTAAGTGGCTCTCAAGTAAAAACAAAACAAAAAAGCAGTTGAAGCTAGTACAGAATTCTTGACAGTGGCTTCATAAAATAAAGCGAAATCAAGTCACAAAAAAGCTGACAAATCCAATAATTCCAGCTCTAGCATTTAACAATTTGACTTCCCTAGGAAATCCATAAAGGCATTTAAGCACCAGGCACTGAGAGATAGTACAGAAGGAAAGGTAGCTGGCTTGCATGCAGCCAACCCTGTTTGGATCCCCAGAGTGATCCCTGAGGGCAGAGCCAGGAGTAAGGATAGCTGCAGCCCAACTTCTCCCATGAAATGCTTAAGTGCTTACACCTGCCCCCACACTCTGAATACAACCTTATTTGGAAGTAATATCTTTGCAGAAGGGCTGGAGGGATAGCACAGCGGGTAGGGTGTTTGCCTTGCACGCAGCCAATATGGCTAACCCAAGTTCGATTCCTCCGCCCCTCTCGGAGAGCCCGGCAAGCTACGGAGTGTTATCTCGCCCACACGGCAAAGCCTGGCAAGCTCCTCGTGGCGTATTCGATGTGCCAAACACAGTAACAACAAAATCTCATGATGGAGACGTTACTGGGCCCACTCGAGAAAAATCGATGAACAACGGGAGGACAGTGACAGTGACAATCTCTGCAGATATCATCAAGTTAAGATGAGTTCAATGGTGGTCGCTAAACCTAGAGGCTGGTGTCTTTATAGGAGTGCCATGTGAAAATACAGGGACACTCTGGGAGCACATGCCACAAAGAGAAGGTGTCCACGGGACAGAAACATCAGGAGTTGCCAGCAGCACAGAAAGGATAGAAGAGACAGGCAGGATTTCAGGCTGCCAGTTTCTTCCCAAACTTGAGCAAAACGAGTTTCTGTTGTTTTAAGACCATGATTTGGAGGCACTTTCTTTTTTGTTTTGCGGCCACACCCAGCAGCCCTTAGGAGTTACTCCTGACTCTGCACTCAGGAGTTACTCCTAGCGGAGTATATGTTTGGGGGACATATTGAGAGATTGAATCTGGGTTGACTGCGTGCAAGGCAAATGCCTTACCCACTGTACCATCGCTCCCTGGAGGCTCTTTCTAAAGATGGCTCTAGGAAGCTAACATTGCAGCCAGTGGTTTGTAGATCTGAGAAATCTGGGCTTGGATAGCCCAGATTTCCCCCACCTGCTGACCTCAGTCCCAGGCCCCTGCTTAGGCATGCCATTCCAGTCACAGTGGCCTTGGCCGTGCTGCCACCCTTCCACCACTGAACCTCACCTTGCCACAGGCTCCAATCTCTGCAGATCCTTTGGAGCTAGCGTTTTCTCCTCAGAAAATCTGTAATGCTTGCACCCTCGATCCCCCTTCAGGAATCCTGTCTGTGCCTCACCAATATTTTTGAGGATCTGAGTCCTGCCCTGAACCATTCCCTCCTTCAGATTTCTCCACAATAACCGAACAGGGTTGACATACATTCTTTTGTAAAGTTAGCTAAGGGAGCACAGGGAATTTATTCTATCGATTGCATTCCATGAGAACAGGTAAAATTTTCCTCAAAACTGGCTGCAGGACAAAAAGGGTTTCTGCTAATTAAGAGTCTGCAGATGAAGGGCAGGCTCAAGGTTGGGCCCGAAAAGGGCTGGGAGAGAATCTCTACTAGGCTTTGGGGAGAATAAGTGGTTCACCCTGTGCAGAAGAGTGGAGTAAGCAATTTTCAAACTGCTAAAATTCTTCCGTATCAGGAAAAAAAACTCATACCTATAATTTTGTCTCCAGCCACACCCCTAAACTGAGAAAATGCAAGTTTTCTTGGAATAGGCCAAATCTAAACATACCTCCCCCCACTGCATTGCTGTGGGGGTTTTTTGTTTCTTTTAGACTTGGGGGGGTGGGGGAAAGGTGCGAATTGAGGTGCTGGGGAGAACCTCTGGCAGGAACTGCCTGCTGAGAAGCTCCTACTTGAAAGATAGAAGACAGAAGAAAGCTGTGACCTCCGCCCCTCCTAAACACCAGTAACAAACATTTCAAACAAGCAAAGAGCTTTAAAGCTGCTCTTTTCTCTGTCAGGAGACGACCCAGCCCTGTTTTAAGTGGCCCTAATTATCACCTGTCCTTTCCTCATTGAAATTTTCAAGTTTAAGAGGCAGAAAATGAAAGTCTTCCTTTACCTTGGGTTCTGGCCCCAGGTGCTGTCAATCCCAAAACTGGATTACAGGATTCTTCGGGAAGTGATCTGATGGGAGTTTCCACTTCAGGGGTTTCAAAATTACCTTCAGAATCCGAGCTGCCAAGGAGGAAAAATGAGGAATTACCACTTTCAAAGGCATCTGCGACATCCCTGAGAACCTATATATCCATAAAGGCTAAAATCCAGCATTTGGGTGTATCTGCACAACCCACCGGCCCCAGGACCGCCAGGTTTGTTTGTGGGCGCTGCGTCGGTGTCCACACTGTGCTTCTGTCTGCCATCCTGTCTCCCCGAAGTCTCCATCCTTCAGGGCTTTTCAGCAGCACCTCTTTTTTAAGTCATTCTTCTCCCCCCACCCCCATTGCCCGTCTGCACACCTTGAAAAAAAAAAAAAGCGCTTTCCAAACAGACTCCTTTACTCATCGGCGCCCTTTCCCAGAGGTTCACAAATTCATCCCCTCCCCCTAAAAAGAATCATGAGCCACTTTTGCTGAAATGCCTTTTTCTTTGACAGACCCCTCTACCTGCCTAGGCCTCACTGGGGACGGCTGAGGTGCTGCCACCTGCTTCCCACAGATCGCAGTGACAGCTCGGCTGGGAGCACCCGCTCCTCACCAGCTGCCCGAAGCCTGTCATCACATGCCCTTCTTTAGCCCAGGCTGCATTGTCAGACCCAGCAAGGTCCAGCCAGCGACTGTGTGTGTGTGTGTGTGCGTGTGCGCCGGGAGCAGAGCAAAGTGCAGGGGGGCTGCGGACTCAGGGTGGGGGGTCAGAAGGCTGAGCATGAACCAGGGCCGAGGAAATGCACAGGCACACTTCTGAACTTGCAAACGCACTGCGGAGCCATGGCCCCAGGTTAGGACGCAGCATTGCCAGGCAAATGGTGATGCGACAGCGACAGCACATAGGAGGCGGCTGCAGGGAGGGAGGGATGGAGGGAGGGGTGGGGGCTGGGGGAGGGAGGAAAGGTGGATGAATGGATGAGTGTGAGTGGGTGGATGGAGGGATGGGTGGGTGGTGGATGAATAAGTGGATGGAATGGGTAAGTGGATGGGATAGGTTGGGTGGGAGGGTGGATGGATGGTGGGTAGGAGGATGGGTGGATGGATGGGTAGGTGGATGGATAGGTGGGTGGATGGATGAGGAGATGGGTGGGTGGGCGAATGGATGGGTAGGTGGGTGGGTGGGTAAGTGGGTAAGTAGGTGGATGATAGGTGGGTTGATGGATGGGTGGATGGGTGGGTAAGTGGGTAGGTGGGTGGGTGGGTGAATGGATGGGTGGGTAAATGGGTAGGTGGGTAAATGGGTAGGTAGGTAGGTGGGTGGGTGAACGGATGGGTGCGTAAATGGGTAGGTGGGTGGGCGGATGGGTAGGTGGGGTAGGTGGGTGGGTGGGTGGAGGGGCAGCACGGTCGCGTCCGCGTCCGCGTCCGGCGCGGGGGGGACGCGTGGACTTGCCTGAAGCTCAAGGACTTGGTCTCGGCTTGCGAGTCCTCCTCCTCGGGCTCGCCCTCGGGCCCGGCGCTCTCGTCGCCCGCCGCGCCCCCGCCGCGCACGGCCGACCACGTCCAGCGGGCCCACTGCACGGGGGACAGGATCTGCCAGGGGCTGAAGGCCATCCCTCCCGCGGGGCCGGCCGCCGTCCCGCCAAGATGGAGGCGCCGGGGACAGCCCCAGAACGCGCGGGGGTGGCCGGCGCGCGCCGCCTCCTGCCCGCGTCCCGGGGAGGCCCGGGGGGCGACCGTGCGGGCGCTGCGCGGGGCCCGGCCTCGGCGGCTCCTCCGCGCGCCGACCGGCTCCCGCCTCAGGCCCGGGCGCGCCTCGGCTGCGGCGGGGCCGCCCCCTCGGACCGAACTACCGGCGCGCGCGGCCGGGGGCGGCCCTGGAGGCGGGCGCGCGCACGCCGGCTCCCCCCCCGCCACCTGGTCGCGCCGGCCGCGGCGACACTGCGCCGGCTGAGGCGGGCTGAGGCGGGCTTAGGCGGGCTGAGGGGGGGCTGAGGCGGCCCGAGGCGGCCAGAGGCGTGTCCGAGGCGGGCTGAGGCGACCCGAGTGCTCGGTCCGCGCCGGGCTGAGGCGGGCTGAGGCGGCCCGAGGCGTGTCCGAGCTGGGCTGAGGCGGGCTGAGGCGAGTCCGAGCTGGGCTGAGGCGGCCCGAGGCGTGTCTGAACTGGGCTGAGGCGACCCGAGTGCTCGGTCCGCGCCGGGCTGAGGCGGGCTGAGGTGGCCCGAGGCGTGTCCGAGCTGGGCTGAGGCGGGCTGAGGCGAGTCCGAGCTGGGCTGAGGCGGCCCGAGGCGTGTCTGAACTGGGCTGAGGCGACCCGAGTGCTCGGTCCGCGCCGGGCTGAGGCGGGCTGAGGTGGCCCGAGGCGTGTCCGAGCTGGGCTGAGGCGGCCCGAGGCGTGTCCGAACTGGGCTGAGGCGACCCGAGTGCTCGGTCCGCGCCGGGCTGAGGCGGGCTGAGGCGACCCGAGGCGTGTCCGAGCTGGGCTGAGGCGGGCTGAGGCGCCTCCGAACAGCGCTGAGGCGCGAGCGTCCAGTCACCTTCAGACCCGGCGCACCGGGACGCCCTTCCCGCTCGTCCTTTCTCCGTCTTGGAGTTGACACCGGGACGCCCGAAGTGAAGTGAAGCCCCTTCTTTTTTTTTTTTTTCCTTTAAAAAAGCAACGTGGAGGGAACTGGAGCAAAAGCCCAGCGAGTAGGGCGTTTGCCTCGCACAGGGCCGACCCGGGTTCGATTCCCAGTATCCCATATGGTCCCCTGAGCACCGCCAGGGGTAATTCCTGAGCGCAGAGCCAGGAGTAACCCCTGCGCATCGCCGGGTGTGACCCAAAAAGAGAGAAAAAAAAAAAAAGCAACTTGGAGGAGGGCGTTGCCCGATGATTCCTGACCACGTGGAAGGTGGCAGTCCCCTCGGCGTCACCCTCGCCACGGCCACCTTCAGGCCCAGCAGTGAAGGGTCGGGGAGCTGTGGAACCCGCGCACTCCCCCCATTCCCCTCTTGGGGCCTCTTTCTCGTCAGAACTTCTGACTTAGTTTGCTGCTTCAGAAGTGGCCAACAGCCTTGGTGAAGTAAACAGTTGTTTTTTGGTTTTTAATCTTAAGAGAAACACAACGTGGCTCTTTGGATTTCCTTTAGAGATTGCCCCCGCCCCCTCGCCTTGCAATCCAGGGAACCGGCCGCCTCAGACAACAGGCCTAGTGCTGCCCTTGGTTGCACAAGGCGTTTCTGGTCCTGTTGTAAATTTCCAGACTATGGCGACTTTGCCACAGGTTCCCACAGCGCAGCCCCATAATGGGGGGTCAAAGCCCTGTGAAGAAAAAGCCATGTTTTGTTTTGCTTGGGAATCACACCCAGCAGTGCTCAGGGACTACTCCCGACTCATTTTCTCCATGTCACTCCTGGTTGTTCTTGAGGTAAGTCGGAAGACACCGAGAGCCATGGCTTGTAGGGGAGCAAATGGACCATGTCATGCAGATAAGTCCATCGAACAATTTCTTGATCTTCATACACATCTGATAACCCCAAAGTAAATGCAAGATAAGGAGATAAAGTCTCCTTATCAGAAAGAAGGGCAGGGGTATCCCAGAAATCTAGGGAAAAGGACTGGAATATTAGGACACTTGAGACTTCATTCAGCTCCCTCCTGGAAAAGAACAACTGTCATGAGAGTTCTGGAAACTTCAGAGATGCAAATAAAGTATGCAGTAGTCACATATTTAGGTCCACATGAAATATTTCACAACACTTTCCAGTTGTTTTCAGTTTATGGCGCCCCATGTATACTAGAGTATGTGATCCCAGGGTTTCTAGAGTTTACACAAGTGTACTGTTACCTGGAAATATTATTGTCCCATGTAAATCAGTAATCGACATGTGCTCAGTGGGACCTGCTCATCCTTTCTCTCCAGGACTTGAATCTCCAGTCCTCTGTTCATTGTGACCAACTCCCACGTCCCTCATTTCATAGAGCAGTAAACTTTCTCCCAACCCACTTCTGAGGACTCCTCACCCAGGCTACCTGGCTGTTGCGGGGCTTATGGTCTAGTCTCCTCTTCCTCCTTCCATCTGTTCCTTTGTATTCCTAGTCATAATTCATAGGAATGGGCTGTGAACCTCCAATAGAGCCAAGAATTCTCTGGGATGCTTCTTTAAAAACACAAATCCACTTCTCCCTCCTGGATGGCACTCGCATAAGCAGGGTAAATGTGGCCTAAAGCCTACAGGACTTTCAGTAAGAAATGTGTGAAGCATCAGTCCCACACAGTGACACAGTACAAGGAGAAGGATTCTCTACTCCCCAGGAAGGCAGCATTACAAAAAACTACAGACGGTGCTGAGGCTTGAATGTGAGTTCAATGACTAAACTTAGAGAATACTGGCAATGAAGAGATATGAGTATTTTGAACTGGGAATAAAAGAGAAAAAGGAAGAGAAAGAGGAAATAAAGAAAAGGAAGGATTAAGCAATCCAGTTCTAAGCTTCATTTTTTTACTAAGAAGAAAATAAAAATCTTAAGGGTGTAGCCAACTACCCCTAAATCCAAACTGCCAGCAGGATCTGGAAATCTATATATTTATTTTTCAAGTGTCCAGGAGAATCGTTTTCACAAGGTAAATTTGTTTAATAATGACATGCTTGACCCAGGGCTGGAATACATACTTTGCATGATGGAGGCACAAATTTCATTTATGAAACCCACCCACCTTAGTTCCAAAGGGAGTGTTCCCCAAGTAAGGAGCACCTCTGAACACCCCCAGTATGGCCCAAAACAATAACAAAACCCAAAACAATAGTAATAACCTTGAGCCAATAGTTGCTGCTTCCGCAACAATCTCCCTCTTGCAGGAGCATTTCGTGCTATCTCTACACTCACCTGACATCCTCTGACAGCCCAATCTTACTTCCTCACCCAGATCAAACATCTAGGAAACTAAGCTAATTTTTTTGGGGTGTGCACAGCGGTGCTCAGAGATTACTCCTGGCTCTCTACTCAGGAATCACTCCTGATAGTGCTCTGGCGAACATATGGGATGCAGGAGTCGAACCTGGCACAACTTTGTGCAAGGCAAGCATACTACCTGTTATATTATCTCTCTGCTGCCCTGAAATGAACTGATTTCTTCCTCCTTTCTAAACATTTCTATTCCCTGATACTCATAGAGACTTCTATTATGGCCCTAAGTTTTGAAAGGGTGAATATTAATAATTATATCAGAACAACAGGCATAATAAACCAGATATTGCAGCACATAAAAAGGAACTTACTCTTAGCAAATTATATATAATGAATTTGTTTACGTGTTGCAGGTGGAGAAATGGAAGTGTGGTGGGGTGAGGGGCTGATTATATGTATTGGGAGAAAAACACTGTCTGGAACCTAAAGCAGCCCAAAAGCATGAGGCCTTTGAGACACAAAATCCACCTGAGGAGCCAACCTTTAAGGTGCAGAATTCCAGGTCCAGAGCATAGCCTGGACTCCCTGGGAAGAGTATCCTGCAGCGGACTGGAACAAAGGCCTTACTAAGAATATCAAAAGAAGACCATTTTGGGGCTGGAGCCCAGCAGGTAGGGCGTTTGCCTTGCACGCATCCAACATGGCCGACTAGGGTTCGATTCCCAGCATCCCATATGGTCCCCCGAGCACCGCCAGGAGTAATTCCTGAGTGCATGAGCCAGGAGTAACCCCTGAGCATCGCCGGGTGTGACCCAAAAAGCCAAAAAAAAAAAAGACCATTTCCCTTAGCAACTCTTGCAGGCTGGGAGGTGCTGCTGTTTGGGAAACTATATAAACTAACTTGGCAAAGAAACTATGTAAACTAAAAGAAAAACGCATGCGTTTCCACATTCTGGGAAAATGGCCTGCATCTCTGCCTTAGCTGGGTACTTTCTTACTTTATGGCATGTATTCTATATCTTGGGAATTTGTTGCAGATCTAACTGGGATCTGGAGAAACCCACCTTCTTTCTTGAGCACAAAACGTTCTTCCCGAATAAACTGACCTTGCCTCACTATTCATCTCCTCCGAAATTGTTTTTTGTTTTTATTTTTGCTTTTGGGCCACACCTGGCGATGCACTTTGGCGGTGTGCAAGGCAAGCATCCTACCCACTGTACTATTGCTTGGCCCCCTCCTCTTGACATTCTTTTCTGTAAGGAAAGGCAGTGTACCTGGAAAAATCTGGTTATACTTTTTTTTTTTGGCTTTTTGGGTCACACCTGGCAGTGCTCGGGGGACCATGTGGGATGCCAGGGATTGAACCCAGATCAACCATATGCAAGGCAAACGTCCTACCCACTGTACTTTTGCTCCAGCCCTAATCAGGGTATAATTTAGGACTGAATTTCCTTTCCTGCAAAGAGCAATTTCTCACTCCTAAGAAATCATTTTTAGGGCCGGGATCATTTCCCATCCCAGGCAGAACAAGTGGGATTGAGGTGCAGTTTGACAACTGCTACATGGAGTTGGTGAGACAGGAGATCTGTGTTATGCAGGTGCTCACAGCAGACTTTCTTCTATTTCTTCACCTTAGGCATATCCCTGGGTGATCCAGGTAGGTAGAGAAGGAAGTGGTAAGATCCCCATCAAGACTATGCCCGTTCTCTTCTACCCATTCCAC